AGGGGAGGGGGGGAATGGTTGGGAGGACCAGGGGATGGGGGAGTGGGGAATGGTTGGGGAGGCCGGGGGCGGCGGGGGAGAGTTGCTGTGGCTCAGCAACGCGTGGCCGGTAACAGCCAGTTAAAAATAGAACTTCAGTATTTAACTGGATCATATATACTTAAGAAATTGTATATTAAATCTTTATAATCTGTAATAAGCAATTCATAGTTTGCATTTTGTTAAACAAAAATTCACCAAGGAATATTACTCAGGAAATCTGACTCATCCTCGTGGGCCAGAGACTGAAAATACGAATAACTTTATTCATGATTAAATAACTTGGACTCTACAGTTATTCATTATAATCTTTGGCAACGTTTGTTCATAATGAGTTTATTGAATAGAGAAAACATACATGTACTCACCTAATTGTGCTTGCGGGGGGTTGAGCTCTGGCTCTTTGGTCCCGCCTCTCAACCGTGCATGTGTATGCATGCTTGCGTGCATGCATACATGTGTACGGCTTGGTTGGTAGAATGACGGACGGCCACTTTTTAGACCAGAGTTTGAGTCTCTGATGATCCAATTGGATGAAATTTATGTGTTCATATTGTGTGCTTTCTATACTATGACGAACAAGATTGAAACAATTGGTAAATTTGTTGTCAGTGAAGGAAACCAAATTCTTACATATTACGTCTGAATTTGGCCGTTTACCCGTAAACGGACATAATTCGAAAATGAACAAAAAATTGAAAATAAATTTAGGATTTTTTTTTTCCAAAACAGTAAGTTAAGGGTCCTCTGGTAGGTTAGGAGGGCAGGAAATTATGTTAAAGTTTCAAAACGTCATGGAAAACGTTAGTTGAATGTTTCCTCTTCTAACCTGATCGAGTAAGCCGGAGGACTCAAACAGAAAACGGGACAGTACATCGCTTTGGTGAGCCGATTTCATTTAAAATTACGTCCATTTTTGGCCATACGCATAAACGAACGAAAAGCAATGTTATTTTTAAGAGGACGGGTTGTTCCACGAGGCCTCTCTTGTGTCTTATTGATAAATGACACTCCTCTTTGCCCTCGTTAGACATATGGGACTACTCCCCCCCCCCCACCAGCCACAGACCACCACCACCACCACTACCACCACCACACCACCACCACCACCACACCACCACCACCACCCACCACCACCACACCACCACCACCACCACCACCACCACCACCCAGCACATCCTACAATCACATCACCAAGGCTTCCAGCCCCGATAGCAACAGTGTCAGAGGCTAAGAATATTCATACATTGCCACCTCCTTGTATATGTATACACACCAAGCACCTCGGACACTAATGAGGACATCGCATACACTGAACCATTCAACCATCACACACACACACCTGGATAGTCACATGTGTGTGACCCAAGGCAGTTAAAGTCTCAGGAGCCATTCACGTATGTTATTAACTGCCTAATTAGACATATTGCAAGCGTCGCTAGCCAGCTTCACTCTGGAGTGAAAGTGAGCTTAGTTTCTACCAGATAACAAATGTCGTTTTCTCTCCTTATACGGATCAAACCACTTGGGCTGGACGGTAGAGCGACGGTCTCGCTTTATGCAGAACGGCGTTCAATCCCCGAGCGTCCATAAGTGATTGGGCACCATTCCTTTCCCCCCTGCCCATCCCTAATCCTTATCCTGAACCCTTCCAAGGGCTATATAGCCATAATGACTGGGCGCTTTCTCCTGATAGTTCCTTCTTATACGGAGTTCTCATAATATCTGAAATATTAATTATATGGCCTCACCTGAGCCACAGGATTCATCTGGTGTTGTCATGTCCTCTTACGAAACCTGTTGATCTTTCCTCGATCATATCTTGAGGTTATCTTGAGATGATTTCGGGGCTTTTTAGTGTCCCCGCGGCCCGGTCCTCGACCAAGCATCCACCCCCAGGAAGCAGACCGTGACAGCTGACTAACACCCAGCTACCTATTTTACTGCTAGGTAACAGGGGGCATAGGGTGAAAGAAACTCTGCCCATTGTTTCTCGACGGCGCCCGGGATCGAACCGGGGACCACAGGATCACAAGTCCAGCGTGCTGTCCTCTCGGCCGACCAGCTCCATCATGGTGGATTAGTTTACAATAATTAGAGAGTTTGTGAGCTCCAAAACGCTCACAGAATGTTATAGAGGTTGTTCCTAACAACAATAATTTTGGTTTGTGATTTTCTGAATCTCGTAAACTCTGTTAATTAATTAGGATTCAGCCGCTGTACTCGAGCAAAGATGTACATGTTTCGTAGGCTGGTCACGGATATGCTCGACAAATCCTTCCCTTGGTCAACAAATCTATTACTAATGATGAAAAGTGTTCGAGTACTATTAGAAACGCATTAGATTGTCAAGGGATCCAATAAAACCCATTAGATTGTCAAGGGAATCCAATAAAACTCATTAGATTGTCAAGGGATCCAATAAAACCCATTAGATTGTCAAGGGATCCAATAAAACCCATTAGATTGTCAAGGGATCCAATAAAACCCATTAGATTGTCAAGGGGAACCATTAAAACCCATTAGATTGTCAAGGGAATCCAATAAAACCCATTAGATTGTCAAGGGGAACCATTAAAACCCATTAGATTGTCAAGGGGATCCATTAAAACCCATTAGATTGTCAAGGGAATCCAATAAAACCCATTAGATTGTCAAGGGGAACCATTAAAACCCATTAGATTATCAAGGGGAAAAATAAAACCCATTAAATTGTCAAGGGGAACCATTAAAACCCATTAGATTGTCAAGGGGATCCATTAAAACCCATTAGATTGTGACATTCTCCCTTGTTAGGCTTCCTTAATTTAGAAAAGGTAATTATGATCCCTGACTAATTAGTCAACTATCCCACCATTAATGTTCGAGTCTTGTTACGGCGGAGTTCAAATTACATGAGTTTCAAGCTTCCCTTAGGGGTCCCCGTAGTACAGTTGGCTTCGTTCTCGAGTGACAATCTGCGATGCCGAGTTCGATTTCCGAGCGGGAAATGGAAATTTAAGGAGCATGTTTCCTTGTACCTAGTGCCTCTGCCTAGTGATAAATAGGTTAGCTAATGTATATATATATATTGACAGGCTTCCTGTCCCCTCATAAAACGAATGATTAATTATAGGTATTAATTACCGCGTTACAAGCTTTCTTAACTTTACTGTCAATAAAAAGCTTGAATTATGGAGAGGGACACAACGATGGAGCTCCGACTTACTAGTAAGGAAGCAAGAAGGAGCCTGAGAAACTGAGATTAATTATCGAGATGGAGACTGCAATACGGAAGGAATAATTATCGAGATGGAGACTGCAATACGGAAGGAATAATTATCGAGATGGAGATGGGATTATGGCAGGAATAAGCACCTGATTCCCAATGGAATACTATTTCCATAACGGGAAGAAAGCCGCAGGCCAGAAAGGAAGAGAAGGGCTAAAATGCACCAGCCCGCAGAGAGGGGGACATGATACAGACGTATAAAATACTTACAGGGATTGACAAGGTGGAAACAGAGGAAATGTTTACAATGAATAACAACAGAACAAGGGGGCACGGATGGAAGCTTGAGACTCAGATGTGTCATAGAGATGTTAGAAAGTTTTCTTTTAGCATAAGGGAAGAGTGTAAACGGAATGACTTAAAGGAGCAGGTTGTAGAGGCTGACTCCATCTGTAACTTATAAATCAGTCATGATAGGGAAACAGGTCAGGAGTCATTGTATTAGAGAACCTACGGCTAGAAAAGCGGCGTCCAAGAGTTTGAGCTCAATCCTGCGGGCACAAATGAGTGAGCACACACACACACACACACACACACACACACACACACACACACACACACACACACACACACACACACACACACACACACACACACACACACACACACACACACACACACACACACACACACACACACACACACACACACACACACACACACACACACACACACACACACACACACACACACACACACACACACACACACATCTGTATACTACGTATGTATACCACATTCGTAAGACCAATCCTGGAGTATGCGGCCCCAGCATGGAGCCCGTACCTTGTCAAGCACAAGACGAAACTGGAAAAAGTTCAGAGGTATGCCACTAGACTAGTCCCAGAACTAAGAGGCATGAGTTACGAGGAAAGGCTGCGGGAAATGCACCTTACGACACTGGAAGACAGAAGAGTAAGGGGAGACATGATCACAACCTTCAAAATCCTCATGGGTATTGACATGGTAGACAAAGATAAACTATTCAACACTGGTGGGACGCGAACAAGGGGACACAGGCGGAAACTGAGTACCCACATGAGCCACAGAGACGTTAGAAGGAACTTTTTCAGTGTCAGAGTAGTTAACAAGTGAAGTGCATTAGGCATTGATGTGGTGGAGGCTGACTCCATACACAGTTTCAAGTGTAGATATGATAGAGCCCAGTAGGCTCAGGAACCTGTACACCAGTTGATTGGCAGTTCAGAGACGGGCCCAAAGAGCCAGAGCTCAACCCCCGCAAGCACAACTAGGCGAGTACACAGGAACCATGCCAGAGCGGTTGAGCACTATACAAGGGCCTCTCCTCGTGGGCTTAATTGCTACTCTCACCAGGCCGGCTGTGTTGATCTTGGCCTGTTGCTTAGCTGCCTCTTGTTGCTGTCTGCGGGCCCTCACTCTGCCCCCTGTGGGACAGACAGACAGACAGACAGACAGACAGACAGACAGACAGACAGACAGGGCGAGTTAAAGCTACACAAAAGATAATGGTTATCATGTATGAGATCAGTACCACTCCACTTATTGATTGATAGTCAAACTCACAATGATGCACGCAGCATGCGTGCATCATTGCAGGCACGAGCCACAGTATTGCAGGCAGGAGCCACCACACAGGCTGTGTAGTGGTACTGAGGGGCCCTCAGCATGCTGCCAAGGGGCCCTTAGCATACTGCCAGGGGCCCTCAACATGCTGCCAGGGGCCCTCAACATGCTGCCAGGGGCCCTCAACATGCTGCCAGGGGCCCTCAACATACTGCCAGGGACCCTCAACATGCTGCCAGGGGACCCTCAGCATGCTGCCAAGGGCCCTCAGCATGCTGCCAGGGACCCTCAGCATGCTGCCAATGGCCCTCAGCATGCTTCCAGGGCCCTCAACATGCCGCCAGGGCCCTCAACATGCTGCCAGGGGCCCTCAGCATGCTGCCAGGGGGCCCTCAACATGCTGCCAAGGGCCCTCAACATGCTGCCAGGGCCCCTCAACATGCTGCCAGGGACCCTCAGCATGCTGCCAGGGGCCCTCAACATGCTGCCAGGGGGCCCTCAACATGCTGCCAGTGCCCCTCAACATACTGCCACGGACCCTCATCATGCTGCCAGGGACCCTCAACATGCTGCCAGGGGCCCTCAACATGCTGCCAGGGGCCCTCAACATGCTGCCAGGCCCCCTGAACATGCTGCCAGGGCCCTCAACATACTGCCAGGGACCCTCAACATGCTGCCAAGGGCCCTCAACATGCTGCCAGGGGGCCCTCAACATGCTGCCAGGGACCCTCAACATGCTGCCAGGGGGCCCTCAACATACTGCCAGGGGGCCCTCAACATGCTACCAGGGACCCTCAGCATACTGCCAGGGGCCCTCAACATGCTGCCAGGGGGCCCTCAACATGCTGCCAAGGGCCCTCAACATGCTACCAGGGACCCTCAGCATACTGCCAGGGGCCCTCAACAGGTGTCTTAACTTCCCAAATGGGCTTTACAAAATATGTAAATAATATTCATGAACTAACTTTCTTTAGACTATGACTTACGACTATAACATCCCGTTTTCTTTAGTTCAACATCCATCAAAATAATTTTTACCAAATTCCTGTATATTAAAACAGACAAAATCATGTTATTTATCAATTTTTTTCATGTTATAATGTTAATCTAAGATCTCTGTTTGTTGTTGTTGTTGAAGAAGGAATGTTTGGTAACATGGGTGTATAATGCAATCACTAGGTTGTATAAGCAAGCAGGGAGGTTGTATGCATGCCAATGAGTGCGTTTGCTTTCAGCCCTTGTGCTGTTGTGGCTAGAAATGAGAACTCACTCGAAGACCCCCCCTGGAATAATGGATTAAAAAAGTAATTGAAATATTCATTTTTTTTTTTTTAAACATAATTTCTTATCAGAGATACAAAGAGGAAGTGGTGGAAGCCGCCCCCCACTGTTACCCCTACTGTCACCCCCCCCCTGTCACCCACACTGTCACCCGTCACTGTCACCCGTCACTGTCACCCGTCACTGTCACCCGTCACTGTCACCCGGACTGTCCCCCGTCACTGTCACCCCCACTGTCGCTAAAGTTGAGTCCTCCTCTGACCAGTCGACGCGAACTACGACTCGTAATACCGTGCGTGACAAGCTCAGATAACGGAACGACGAGACCTAACCTAACCAGTCTCCGGTTAGATGGACATCTATCCATGTCCGGTTAGACATGGATAGATGTCCGGTTAGAGGCTACGAGGCCCGCATTATACACCTAAAATCGTCCCGTTTAGGCAGTTCTTACAGAGACAATGAGGACCATAGTATATATATATTGACATATGTTAGAAAGTAGTAATCGGTACTATTGAATATGAACAAACTGGAAAAGTTGTTGCAAAGAAAACCTAACCTAGCTTTCCCTAGGCCTATTAATCGCTATCTGAGGCCTATTATAGTACATATATGTGCTATACTAGACCTAGGAGTATTTGTTTTTAATTGTTCACTACGTCAATATATGTACGATGTTGCTCACAGTTGCAGAGAGCGCCATCTATATAGAAGGACGGGTTGCATATTGACAGTTGCATCAGGTCCAGAACCCCCCCCCCTATCCTCTTAAGGTCCCCCTACGTCAAGAAAGTGTCGTACTACAGTGCCCCCTTATCCTAACCTGCCAGAGGACCCAAAACAGAAAACGGGACAGTATATCCATTCCGCGAGCCGCTACCCATTTTCTAGCACGACGATTTTTTTGGCCCTTAGGTGGACTATACGTCAAAAATGGGACGTTCTATTAGGAGGTCTGGTTGCATAGGTCCAGGACCCTTGTAGCTCTGTTTACAATTATCTGGTCTCCACAAACCACTGTGTACACGCTTCCCTTAAATACCATACCAGCTCCAACTATTCAAAAGTCACTCTTTTAACCTATTTTTTACAAATTGTAAATCACAACTACACAGAAAAAATGAGTCTGAAGCCCATGAGAATCAACAGGACGCTACGCATCTATGAGAATACATTGTTATATATGTGATCTTGAATCAAAAAGTGAATGTTGTAACCGAGGGCGCCTTTCAAACTCGTATGTAAACTATGTAGTGAATCTGGGGCCAGATTCACGAAAGCACTTACTCAAGCACTTACGAACCTGTACATCTTTTCTCAATCTTTGGCGGCTTTCTTTCCACTTATTAAACAGTTAATGAGCTCCGAAGCACCAGGAGGCTGTTTATAACAATAACAACAGTTGATTGGCAAGTTTTCATGCTTGTAAACTGTTTAATAAATGTAACCAAAGCCGTCAAAGATTGAGGAAAGATGTACACGTTCGTAAGTGTTTGCGTAAGTGCTTTCGTGAATCTGGACCCCTGGAGCAGATGCCTTGAGCCCATCGTGGTCCAGTCGGTAGTGCGTGTTCCCGAGAATCCAGGCACGCAGGTTTGATCCCATTGTATAGCTTCAGTATGTTCTCAACGACTGTGAAAGAAACCAGTTGATATTTAACTACCAGGCGACCAGCAAACTCAAAGAACCAATAGAAGAAATCTATGAAAAACTCTTTTGTCCCACCGTGAATTAAACGCCAGAACGCCGTGAAGAGCGCAGATGATGCGCTCTCAAGCCGCAGACGATCCAAAACGCAGTGAATGCGTTCAGCTGCTTCGCTGAGTGCTTGAGGGAAGTACACCAGGAGATATACATGTTTCTCGGCGTATGTATATACACTGAAAGTATACACTTAGTCCAGGAGTAAATTATACCTGTTTGCAGTAAGTTAAGTAAGCAAGTAAGAAAGTGCTGGTCTTATTAACCCTCCAGAAGTCGACAGATATTAAATAAAATATAGATATTATTTATAACTTATTTATATTATAACTAAATATATTTATATAATATTTATATTATAACTAAATATTTTTATATTATATTTATATTATAACTAAATATTTTTATATTATATTTATATTATAACTAAATATTTTATATTATATTTATATTATAACTAAATAAATGTTTATTCAGGTACAAGTGCATAACATTCCAAGTGACTCGCAAACACATATGTCGGATTTCAAGACAAATTTCTAAGAGCCAAGGCATGATGAAGAGTGATGAAACATACCTGAACCCAATCATCATTTCTCCCACTGTAAACACAGCGTGTTGACCGGTGTTGTGAGAACTGAGTCAGCTGGGAAACTGGAGGAGAATCCAGTAGATGCGCGCAGTTTAGGGCTGCTCCCGACAGAGGGCTCTGGCAGCCTGCTGCTTGCATTGTAAACAGCGTGCGCGCTCCAGTGCCCTTTATGCTGTCATGGGGAGTGTATGTCAGTTTTGGGGGTCAACTACCGCTCACAGGGTGGGTATGGGGTCCACTACTGCTCATAGGGTGGGTTATGGGGTCCACTACTGCTCATAGGGTGGGTTATGGGGTCCACTACCGCTCACAGGGTGGGTATGGGGTCCACTACCACCCACAGGATGGGTATGGGGTCCACTATCAAACACAGGGTGGGTATGGGGTCCACTACCACTCACAAGATGGGTATGGGGTCCACTACTGCTCATAGGGTGGGTTATGGGGTCCACTACCGCTCACAGGGTGGGTATGGGGTCCACTACCGCTCACAGGGTGGGTATGGGGTCCACTACCGCTCACAGGGTGGGTATGGGGTCCACTACCACTCACAAGATGGGTATGGGGTCCACTACCGCTCACAGGGTGGGTTATGGGGTCCACTACAACTCACAAGATGGGTATGGGGTCCACTACCACTCACAAGATGGGTATGGGGTCCACTACCACTCACAAGATGGGTATGGGGTCCACTACCGCTCACAGGATGGGTATGGGGTCCACTACCGCTCACAGGGTGGGTTACGGGGTCCACTACCACTCACAAGATGGGTATGGGGTCCACTACCACTCACAAGATGGGTATGGGGTCAACTACCGCTCACAGGGTGGGTATGGGGTCCACTGCTGCTCATAGGGTGGGTATGGGGTCCACTACCACTCACAAGATGGGCATGGGGTCCACTACCACTCACAAGATGGGTATGGGGTCCACTACCACTCACAAGATGGGTATGGGGTCCACTACCGCTCACAGGATGGGTATGGGGTCCACTACCGCTCACAGAATGGGTATGGGGTCCACTACCGCTCACAGAATGGGTATGGGGTCCACTACCACTCGCAAGATGGGTATGGGGTCCACTACCACCCACAGGATGGCTATGGGGTCCACTACCACCCACAGGATGGGTATGGGGTCCACTACCACTCACAGGATGGGTATGGGGCACCCCATCACCCACAGGATGGGTATGGGGCACACTACCACCCACAGGATGGGTATGGGACCCACTACCACCCACAGGATGGGTATGGGGCACACTACCACCCACAGGATGGGTATAGGGCACACTACCACCCACAGGATGGGTATGGGGCACACTACCACCCACAGGATGGGTATGGGGCACACTACCACCCACAGGATGGGTATGGGGCACACTACCACCCACAGGATGGGTATGGGGCACACTACCACCCACAGGATGGGTATGGGGCACACTACCACCCACAGGATGGGTATGGGATCCACACTACCACCCACAGGATGGGTATGGGGCACACTACCACCCACAGGATGGGTATGGGGCACACTACCACCCACAGGATGGGTATGGGGCACACTACCACCCACAGGATGGGTATGGGATCCACTACCACCCACAGGATGGGTATGGGGTCCACTATCACCCACAGGATGGGTATGGGGTCCACTATCACCCACAGGATGGGTATGGGGCACACTACCACCCACAGGATGGGTATGGGACCCACTACCACCCACAGGATGGGTATGGGGTCCACTACCACCCACAGGATGGGTATGGGATCCACTACCACCCACAGGATGGGTATGGGATCCACTACCACCCACAGGATGGGTATGGGATCCACTACCACCCACAGGATGGGTATGGGATCCACTACCACCCACAGGATGGGTATGGGATCCACTACCACCCACAGGATGGGTATGGGGCACACTACCACCCACAGGATGGGTATGGGGCACACTCATCGATGATAATGGCGTTTTTACGCTTGAAATAAATCTCTTTTGACCCTAATTGCCTACAATTGACCGGTGAGAATGGTATTAATAGCCCCATCACCCTCGACCAATCATCTGTCGTAACAATAAGCCATTGCAACAAGGTAGAAAATGCTTTGCAGTATGACGGAGAGGGCCACCGTCTCCCACCGTCGCATTCTTTACGCAGTCGACTAATCCGTTGGAAATGCGACGTATTATTAAAGATTCGAAATGTTGCCGCTTTCTATGCATCGGCCTCGGTATGTTAGGGAAGGGTTGATGGGGTTCGAACGCTTCTGGTGTGAGAGTCTGTGTGCATGATCAGTCGAGGAGCCAGGAGGCCTGGTCGGGGACCGGGCCGCGG